TTCACAGCACTAAGTGCCTACATAAAGAAATTGGAGAATTCTCATGCTTGTAACTTAATAGCACATCAGAAAGATCTAGAACAAAAAGAAGAAATCACATCCTAAACAGTAGACAGCAGGAAACAATCGAATTCAAGGCTGAAATCAATAAAATAGAAACAAACTAAAAACAGTACAAAGAACAAATGAAACAAAGAGTTGGTTTCTTTGAGAAAATCAGTAGGACTGACAAACCCATACCCAAATGAACAAAAATGGAAAGAAAAAGGGCACACAACAGACACCAACGAAAGAAGAACAGACTTTAAAAACCTGTACCAAATTGGAAAATCTAAAAGAAATGGGTAATTTTCTTGATATATACCACTTACCAAAGTTAAATCAAGATCAGATAAACAATTTAAACAGACCTACAAGCCCCAGTGAAATAGAAGCAGTCATTAAAAGTCTCCCAATCAAATAAAGCCCAGGGCCAGATGGATTTAGTACAGAATTCTACCAGACTTTCAAAGAAGAGTTAATGCCAAGACTTCTCAAATTATTCCACAAAAAAGAAACAGAAGGAGCACTGCCCAATCCATTTTATGTGGCCACAGTTACCCAGATACCTAAACCTAAAGACCTAATAATGAAAATTACAGACCAGTTTCCCTTAGGAACACAGATGCAAAAATTCTCAACAAGGTACTTGTAAACTGAATCCAAGAACACATCAAAAAGATCTTCCACCATGACCAAGTAGCTTTCATCCCAGAGACACAAGGATAGGGTAACATATGTAAATCAATAAATAAATCCACCATATAAACAAACCGAAAGACAAAACCCACATGATCATCTCATTATATATAGAAAAGGCCTTTAACAAAATCCAACACCCCTTCATGATAGAAGTCCTGGGGAGATCAGGGATACATGGGACATACTTCAACATAACAAAGGCAGTTGATAGCAAGCTCACAGCCAACATCAACTTAAATGGAGAGAAACTCAAAGCAATTCTGCTAAAATTAGGAACAAGACAAGGTTGCTTACTTTATCCATACCCATTCAGTATGTTACTTGAGTCGTAGCCAGAGCAATAAGACAACTGGAGGAGATCAAGGGGATACAAATTGGAAAGAAGTCAAATTATCTTTATACACAGATGATATGATAGTATATGTAAGTGACCCCCCAAAATTCCACCAGGAAACCCTACAACTGATAAGCATTTTCAGCAATTAGCAGGATACAAAATTAACTCACGAAAATCAGGAGCCCTCTTCTACACAAATGACAAATGAGCTAAGAAAGTTACCAGGGAAACAACACCCTCCACAACAGCCTCAAAAATACTAACATCTTGGGGTAACTCTAACCAAGCAAGTGAAAGACCTGTATGACTAAAACCTTTAAGACATTGAGGAAAGAAACTGAATAAGATATCAGCAGAAGGAAAGATCTCCCATGCTCATGGACCAGCAGGATTAATACAATAAAAATGGCCATCCTGGAGTTAGAGAGATGGCTCAGTGGTTAAGAACACTGGCTGTTCTTCAGAGAACCCAGGCTTAATTCTGTGCACCCACATGGCGCCTCACCACTGCCTGTAACTCCAGCTCCAGGAGATCAGACACCTTCACACAGACATGAATACAGGTAAAATACTAATGCTCATAAAAATAAAAATAAATCATTAAAAAAAGATCATCTTACCATTCTACAGACTCAATGCAATCTCCATCAAAATTCCAACACAATTCTTCACAGATCTTGAAATGACTATTTTCAGATAAAATAATCCTGAATAATCAAAGAATTACTGGAGGTGTCATCATCCTTGATTTCAAGTCATACTACAGAGCTATAGTAGTAAAAACAGCACTGTACTGGTACAAAAACAGACACATTGATCAATGGAATCCAACTGAACAAAGACCCATACATTAATCCACAAACCTATGGACACCTTTTTTGATAAAGCCAGAAATACACACTGGAAAAAAGACAGCATTTTCAACAAATGGTGCTAGTCTAACTGGATGTCAGCATGTGGAAGAATGCAAATAGATACATGTTTATCAACCTGCACAAAACTCAAGTCCAAGTGGATCAAAGACGTCAACATAAATCCAGATACACTGAACCTGATAGAAGAGAAAGTGGGGAACAGACGTGGCAGAGGACAAGACTTTCTGAGCTGAACACCATTAGCACAGTCACTAATATCAATAATTAATAAATGGGACCTCGTGAAACTGAAAAGTGTCTACACAGCAAAGGATACCATCATTGGACAAAGTGGCAGCCTACAGAATGGGAAAAGATTTTTACCAGCTCCACACCTGGTAGAGAGCTAATATCCAAAACATAAAAAAGGCAAAACACTGGACATAAAGAAAACCAATACACTTAAAAGAAAAAAAACAAAAAACAACAAAAAAAAACCTCAATTTAAAAATGGGCTGCAGATCTAAACAGACAGTTTTCCAAAGAGGAAACTCAAATGGTTGAGAAACATATAAAGAAATGTTCAACATTCTTAGTCATCAGGAAATGTAAATCTTACATCTGTCAGAATGGCTAAGATCAATAACACAAGTGACAGCTCACACTGGTGAAGACATGGAGAGAGGAGAACAGGCCTCCACTGTTGGTGGGAATGCAAACTCATACAGCTATTATGGGAATCAGTGTGGCAGCTCATCAGAAAGATGGGAATCCATCCAGCTACACGGCTCTTGGGCATATACCCAAAGGATGCTTCATCCTTCTAAAGAGACCCTTGTACAACCATGTTCATTGCTTTCTGTTCATAACAGCCAGAAACTGGAAACAACCTGGATGTTCACCAATGGATGAATGGATTAAAAAAATGTAGTACATTTATATGATGGAATATTACTCTGCTGTTAAAAAAAAATGAAATCATGGTATTAACAGGTAAATGGGTGGAACTAGAAAAAAAAATCATCCCAAGTGAGGAACTAGAAAAAAGTCATCTAAGTGAGGTAACCCAGACCCACCCAGAAAGACAAATATGTATTCACTAACATCTGGCTGTTAGCTGTTAAGTTCCATAAGCAAGCTAAGGAACTGGAACCACAGAGGTTAGGTACAGAATAAGGGACTGGGGGGAGGGACAGATCTTCCCAGGAAGGGGAACTAGAATAGTTACAGATAGACTGTGGTGGCAGTAGTGGGGGGACAGACGGACAGGGGATGGACTGGAACAAGATCAAACATGGAGGGGGGGAGGAATAGACAGCTAAAATTAAGGGCCGTTTGATGGGTCACACAGAAACCTAATACAGTAGAAGCTTCCTAAATTATGTGCATATAATGAAGGCAATCTGAATGAAATCACCAAGTAACAGGGAAAACTGAGGCCCAACTAGATCTCTCATCACGCTTCAGTACTGGGAATGAGTTACATCTAATCAGGTTGTTGGCCAAAAGGGTACCATGGGAACCCCCGAATGACCCAGGTTGTTGCAAAGGCTCTCCACAAATTGATGGTAAGACCTTATCACTGAAAATAACACCAATACAACTCACTGAAGGAGGAGTCAGGCTGCAGCCTGACTAGAGCCTTCACTCCTGCTGGCCAGTGTTCCTACCAAAGGAGAAACATAAACACCATGCCAGCTACAAACCCTTCAATCCACATGTGTCCTCCCTCAGAGATAGATACGCGAGTGCAATGGTGGCACAAAGCTTATGGAAGCAACCAACATCATCTGATTGGATTTAAGGCCCCCACTCCATGAGATGGAACCATACCTGACGCTGCTCGGGTGGCCAAGAACGTTAACTAGATAGCCCAGGGATCTAGGGGGAAAGCAAAGACTACTGTTCTTCAAAAGGAAGTTAGCAATAAAATGACTCCTAGTGACACAGATCAGTGGCTTGCTCAGCCATCATCAGAGAAGCTGCCTCCTGCAGCAGATGCCAACTGACTCACAGCCAGACTATGCAGAGTGAGAAATGTCAGAACACTCAGCCCTAAACCTCATGTCACCATCAAATCCCTCCCCTCAGGGCTCAGGGAACACTGAGGAAGAGGACTTGGAAAGTGTCAGAGCCAGAGGGGATAGAATGACACCAGGGAAACAAAGCCTTCTAAACAAACACGCAGGACTGACACTTGTGAACTCACAGGGACTGAGGCAGCATGCCACGGCCCTGCATGGGTCTGTACAGCAGGGGACACAAGCCCCCATCCCTCACCCAGAAGCCATCCCCAACTGAGGACTACCTACAAATGAAAAATTAATTTTTTCTCCAAGGGAGTCTCACTGGAGAAACAAACTACTCTTAAGGGCAGACCTCATGCCCAGCAGTAGATGGCCAATGGCAAATAAAGGAAGTGGCATCTTTGGGAGTTCCTACTCTTATAATGTCAGGTCAGAGCTTTTTTTTTTTTTTAACATTTATTTTTTTAAAGCCAGGCGTTGGTGGCGCACGCCTTTAATCTCAGCACTCAGGAGGCAGAGGCAGGTGGATCTCTTTGAGTTTGAGGCCAGCCTGGTCTACAGAGCGAGTGCCAGGACAGCCTCCAAAGTCACAGAGAAACCCTGTCTCGAAAAACAAAAAACAAAACAAAACATTTATTTAAGCCCTACAAACTTTGCCTTTTATGGAATTCCTGAATGTGGGAACAAATATTTCTTTGTCTATTTTGTCCTTTTCCGATTTGCCTATTTTTGTTTTATCTTACTATATTTTATTATTATTCCTTAGATGACTGTTTTCTAACGAGACACAGAAGAGGGTGGATCCCTCTTCTAAAATTAAGTGATTTTAGAAGATGGGTGGGAAGGTGAGGAGGAACAGGGGAGTGGAGAGTGGAGAAACCACAGTTACAATATATTGTATGGAGAGGAAAACTATTTCCGATGAAAGAATTAAGATAAAGTGCTTAGGGGTCATCCAGTCCAGACTGATTTCATTAAACAGCGTGCTGAGAGCAGGAAGAGGAGGAAGAGGGCCCTGACCGGAGCCGTACTGACACTCACCCGGATATGCTGGAGGTAGAGGGACAGGTCTCGGATAAAAGATTTAATTAATCTCTCCTGCATCCGGAAGTTCTTTTCTGTCTCTTCAAATACTTCATCTTTTAGCTGTTCAAAAGGAGTGATTTTAGAAAATTTGGACTTTGTCTCAACAGACGACCTTATCCACAAGAGTATCTTAGAAACATCTTTCACCAAAATGTAGACTTGCTGTTTCCCCAGTCACATCAAACTGAGTTTGGATGCCTGCCTCTACGACTCTGAATTCTGAAACACATGTGGACCTGCCTACTTCCAAACACACACACACACACACACACACACACACACACACACACCAGATGCTGCCTCTCTGACTCTAAGTTCTAAAACATGTGGACCTGCCTACTTCCAAACTGACTTCCCTGATGTGTCCTGGTTGGCTGCTGTCCTCTCCACTCCTGGGACCACCAGGTCCTTCCTTGTAAGTGCTCCAGCCCTTCCTTGTAAGTGCTCCAGCCCAACAGCCCCTCCCCTGCTGCCTCCTCATGGAGGCTCAGATGAACTCAGGTGCAGAGTGCTTTGGTACATAGGTGTTCAGACACAAAGTCTGAGATGTGGAGAGTGAGTCCCTCCTGCCGTGTATCCTCCACCCCTGATGCCATCTGCACGTGGTCTACAGGATGAAGTCTGGAGACTTCCAGGTCTGCAGCTGCCAAGCTGTGGTTCAAATGGCTCAATCTACTACTTTCATGTTCCCCTCTTGGAAACATAAGGCATCTTTCGTTTTTTAAATCCCTTTGAGCTTATACATCTGCACTGTGGATCGGGTTCTCCAAATAGATTTTAAGTGTCTTAGAGGTACAAAGACCACAACAACTATTATAGGTTGATCAGCTGCCCTCCTAAATTTGCCTCTGTGCACATTATAAGCAGCTTGGTAGCTTCAGGGTCCTATCCCACTAATTGGCAAAGCCAGAGGAGGCACTAAGAAGAGTCCTATGCCAATCCATGCCAGCAGCTGTCCCCAGAGCCCTGCAGAGCTGTCAGATATGCTGGGCCATCGAGAGCCGGGCTCACCTGAGGAGCGAAGCCGGTGAGGTGTTTCAGGTGGCTGCTGACCCGGTTGGACTTCTTGATGATGGAGTGGATGTTCAGCTTAGAGATCTTCTCCATCAGGCTATCTTCATCACCTTTTCGGTACTTAAGCACTAGAATGCAAGCCAAGGCCACTGGTCAAAAAAGCGCCCCCTGTCAGTCTGAACTCAATGGGCCTGCCAGCCCAGAAACAGAGGGTTTCCTAAAAATGACCATAAAATGAAAGTAACCCAAACAGGAGTGAGTACTTGTCTTCGATAACTTATAACTGAGCAGACAACATATTAGTCCAAAGAACCAGTCTAGACAGAGGCGTGGCTGCTGGGTAGAGAGAGACTGGCAGGCAGGGAAAGGATCACTGATAGGATGAAAGGCAGCAGAGGTGTAAGGCTGGGGACCAGGGACATCTGTGAGCTCAATGCTCAGGTCTGTTGCTAATCAAGGCTCAGTTTAATAAAAGCCATTTTACCTCTTTGAGCTTAGTATTTTTGAGCCATCTAAGGTTAGAATATGATGGTTGAGTATACAAGTGAGATATTTATGTACAATGATCTCACATAGGAAAGCCACCCCAACCATAAAATTATTTCATTTCTACTCCATAACTGCAATGCTGCCACTGTTATCAATCATAATGTAAATATCTGATATGCAGGATGTTTAATATTCAACCCACGGGTTGAGAAGCAGTGGTCTAGTCCTGCAGGGGCATTTTCTGTCCCGCTGCTTATTGCTTAATCATCCCTTCCTCGTTCCCAACTGCCCAGAGTGGTGCTTTGTTGTCATCGCCTTGTCTTTCTCAGACCACAACTGCCCCAAATTCCATCACTGTTTGTTCCTCCTGGTCCCATCACACCTAGCGCCCTCCTCCACCAACTCTTGGGAAGTAATTCTTTAGAGAAAAGCTTTCTCAGAGGGCGGGCCTGGCAGCCAGGAAAGCTCCTTTAGAGTGACTGTGCCTCTCTCACCTAGATCCTTCCGACGCTTGTACTCATTAATGTTAACGTTGATTTCCTTGACAGCAAGCACTGCGTTGGTTAAAGGCACTTTATCCGGGTGGGACTCTGGGGTGCAGTTCAGCAACTCCATTAGCAGCAGCGGGTAACGCATTATTCTCTGTACGGGCTTGATGAGGAAGGAGCCCAGGTTGATATAATTGGTGCATCCCCTGTAAAAGAAAGCAGAAACGACTCCAGTCAACTGCCAATGCTAAGGTGTTTCTGGATATTTTCTGCTATCCCTAAAGACAGTTGGGACTTTGACTCTGAGTTCTGTTTTCATTTATTTGACAGATATCGTCCTGAACTGTAGAGTGATGGCCGTGCTCTGAGATATGCAATGTTAAGCGACCATGTTGTACTAATTCCACAAAACGTACTATGTACAGTGAGACAGCCCGGGAACCCCCAGGGAATATGAGCTCCGGGGACCATGGGCACCATACGGGTGGTGAACCACTGACTGAAAAGTTGCTGTATGGTGCATGGCTGCATTACTGGGCACCTGAAAATTACTAAGCACTGTTATAGGTACTTAACAGCAACCAAAAGATACCCTTGCTGTGGTGGAAGAAAACAAGTGCTGATTAATAAAGTGGTATTTGGTGGTAAGTGCTATGGAAAAACATGACAAAGCATATCTAGATTTCTGTCTATAAAGACATGAAAGCAGCCTTCTAAGGTCTAGAAGAATCCACTGAATAAATGGTGCGTGCACCAGGCGAGTGGAAGGGACTTACCATTCGTTGTACAGGCTCCTACAGGATGGAAGCAGGAGGGGAAAAAGAGAAAGTGTATTAGAGATGGCATTGATCTTCTCAGTATTCCTACAACAAGTCTACTCAGCAGACAAAAGCCATGCAGGACAGAAGAAAACCATGGATGTCAATGGTGGGTATCCCTGTCTAGACAGAGAGCCACAATCTTCCTGGATGTTTTTAAAGATGCCAACTCAGTCTGAGACATTTCATTGTTTATTTATTTCCTTCCTTCCTTCCTTCCTTCCTTCCTTCCTTCCTTCCTTCCTCCCTCCCTCCCTCCCTCCCTCCCTTCCTCCCTCTGGGCAGGTCTGAAAGTCACTGTGTAGACCGTATTGGACTTGAATTCACTGTAATTGTGCCTCAGCCTCCTAGTGCTAATAGAGGCCCTTGTCACCACTCCTGGCTTGGTCACCAAGCGATACAATCAGGAAGTCATTTAGATTTCCATGATATAGTGGAAAGGAACAAGATACAGCATAGGACACATGATAACGAGTCGCTTATGCGTAAAATAAGGTTGGCAGGTAGATATTGTAAGCATGGGGACCTCTAAAAGGCAGGTGTGAGAGCAAAAGCAGAGGTGGGCCTGTCAAATCTCCTACTTAAGATCTGCCAAGGAGCCCTGAAGGTGCTTCTGGATCTTCTCATCCTTCTCGTAGATTTCTAGCAGTGAAATGGCTTCATCGTGGTTCTGGCAGTAAACTTTGTACGTTCCTTCAAGTTCATCTCGGTGGTCAAGAAACACAGGTCCTTTGGAGCATACACAAACATACACTAATGTCAGGACTATTCTTAGCATCCTAAATTCAAAGCCTATCAAGTAATGTTATGGTCATTCACGTTCACCTGCTAATAAGACAGATCCATCAAATCAATAACACTCCTGTAATACTTAAATTAGAAATCATTTGTTCTACAATGGAGAGAACTATGTCACCCATGTATTTATTTTTCAGAACATGTATTTACACATTCTGCCTTGATGAAGCTTCCAGGCCTCTTCATGAAGACAGAGAACAGCAGCTGCAAACAGGCTGCAAGTGGTCACGTGACCTGATCATATGGCCCTTTTGATCTATACTCTCCAGGAACATCTGCACAAGGGTGAAAAAAACCCTCCATAGTAGTAGTTTCTAACTTTGTGCACAACAAAACATAAGGATACAAATGCAATTTACTACACTACTTTAAATATCTATGAATAAAACGCCTCAACCTATAATACATGTCTTTGTTCTTTGATACTTAAACTTTATTTGTTTATTTATTTATTTAGTTTTAAGATTTATTAATTTATTATTCTACAGTGCTGCATATATACAGATATCATTATAGATGGCTGTGAGCCCCCATGTGGTTGCTGGGAATTGAACTCAGGACCTCTGGAAGAGCAGCCAGTGTTCTTAATCTTTGAGCCATCGCTCCAGCCCCTATTGTGGTTTTTTGAGACAGGCTTTCTCTGTATAACAGTCCTGGCTATCCTGGAACTGGCTTTGTAGACCAGACTGACCTCAAACTCACAGAGCTCTGCCTGCTTCTGCCTCCCAAGCACTGGGATTAAAGGTGTGAGCCACCATTGCCCACATTATTATTATTTTTTAAAATTTGAATTCTTAAGTGTTTGGCTGCCCATGTGTGTATGGTGCCCATGGAGTGTGTGTGGTGCCCATGGAGGCCAGAATAGGGAATCAGATCCCCTGAAAGTGGAGTTATAGACAATTGTGAGTCACCATGTGGGTGCTGAGAATCAAACCCAGGTCCTCTATCTATAGAAGCAAGTGCTTGTACCTGAGTCATCACTCCAACCCCTCATGTGTGCTTCCTCATAGATAGCAATGAGCTTGGCCCTTTCCACATGTCCACTCTATGACAGAGGTAAGCAGCCAAAAAACAGCATTTATGTCTGGTTGGGACTGAGACTCAAGGAAAATGAAACAGTCTAAGACGAAATGAACAGATGTGCCAGATAGTGACAATCACAGGTTACTGTTTTCCCTGTAGACACACTGAAAGCAAATGTTAAAGTTCAGCCAGAAATCAGTAACAGTCAATAAAGATGTAATGTTTCTTTTCTATCCAGGTTCACAGACTCTGGGCAATCCATTCATAGGCCAAGTGGTCTACAGCCTGTTAGGCATAGCACTGACGTGAAGTAAATTTCTACACAGTGATTTACTTTATTTTATTTATGTGTGTGGGCATGTTCTGGTGCTCACAGAGGACAGAAGAGGGCATCGGAGCACCGGGAGCTAGAATGACAAGCACTTGTGAACCACTGAGCAGGAACCCTAGGAGCTAAGCATGGGGTAATCCTAACTGTGACGCCACTTCTCCCACCCACAGGCTTCTTTTGGAGCAGCTGACTCCACTCTGCATTATTAAAAGAATTCTGCCCCTTTCCTTCATTCCTTCTCTCTGTGTAATTTGTTAATGGCTTCACAACGCTTTAATTTCCCTCCTGCCTGGATCTGAGCCTTTCCGTCTCTAAGGCCATACTACTGTTCTACAAATGCCTTCAGCACATGGAAGCCCAACACCTAACTTCTTGTCTGATTTACAGTAAGAATGAAAGGAGGAACTGAAAATAAACACTGTCCGTGTTTATTATACTGTATGGAGGTGGGGCCATGGCTATTGTAATCCTTCACTCTGTTGCTGTTCTAATGTACATACTCTAAGAGACAGTGTAGCTCTTAGACTAATTGTAGCACAGAGGTTCACTCAAACACCTTGTAAGGCCAACACCTCTTACTTAGAAGTATGACATCTTGTCACTGTATCCCATATTTCCTGGATATTTTGTGTTAGTGCAAATCAAAACAACTCTGAGATACCAACTTACTCCTGTCAGAATGACTAAAATAAAAAACAGCAATGACAATCTATGCTGGAGAGGATGTGGAGAAAAAGGAACACTCCTCCACTGCTGGTGGGAGTGCAAATTTGTGCGGCCACTTTGGAAATCAGTATGGCAGTTTCTCAGGAAAATGGGAATCAGTCTACCTCAAGATCCAGCAATTCCACTCTTGGACATATACCCAAGGGATGCACATTCATACAAAAAGGACATCTGTTCAATTATGTTCATAGCAGCATTGTTTGTAATAGCCAGAAACTGGAAGCAACCTAGATGCCCCTCAACTGAAGAATGGATAGAGTAAATGTGGTACATTTACACAATGGAATATTACTCAGCGGGAAAAAAAAAATGGAATCTTGAAATTCACAGGCAAATGGATGGAACTGGTAGAAAACCATCCTGAGTGAGGTAACCCAGTCACCAAAAGACAAACATGGTACGTACTCACTCATTTATGGATAATAGACATAGAGCAAAGGACTACCAGTCTACAATCCACACCTCTAGAGAAACCAAGAAACAAGGAGGACCCTAAGAGAGAAATACATGGTCCCTGGAAGAAGGGGAAAGGGACAAGAACTCCTGAGCAAATTGGGAGCATGCTGGGAGGGGAAGTAGGAAAAAGAAGAGGGGGGAAGAGAACAAGAGGGATCAGCAAAACTGAGACGGGGGAGGAATAGAGGAAAACAAGAAAAGAGATACCTTAATAGAGGGAGCCAGTATAGGTTTAAAGAGAAATCTGGCACTAGGGAAATGTTCAGAGATCCACAAAGATGACCCCCAACTAAGACTCTAGGCAGTAGCGGAGAGGCCACCTTTGATGCCCTTCCCCTATAATGAGATTGATGACTACCTTAATTGCCATCCTAGAGCCTTCATCCAGTAGCTGATGGAAGCAGAAGCAGACACCCACAGCTAAACACTGAGCCATATTCCTGGAATCCAGTTGTTGAGAGGGAGGGGGGATGAGCAAAGCAGTCAAGACCTTGCTGGAGAAACCCACAGACACAATTGACCTGACCTACTGAGAGCACAGAGACCCTAGTCATAAAGCTGGGGAACCAGCATT